ATGTGTGAAATGAGACGCATTAGTGTAGAAACTCAAGTTCCATTTCAGTTACAAAGATATCGACTCTAAAAGTGCCCCATCAAACTTCATTAAGCTCTTAGAACAACGTTTTAGTTGCAATAAAGCAATGTCTTAACCGAATCTTCTTATAGAAACAGCAAACCTTCATGGTCGAAATGTACTGTTAAGCTCCTACACTTCACTAACGAAACACTTCCACGTTTCACGAGATAAAATACATTATTTCTTCACTTACTTATTGACATTCGGGTATGCTCCTACTCAAAATCCGTCGAGAGCTTCTTCTTGCTAGTTGCGAAGGTATTGATTTACCCATGCTGAATTTATGTGAAAAATTCTCACGATCGTGAGAAATTTCTTTAAATAAACAAAAACTATTGGCTGATGATCATCGCATGGAATAAAATCCTGTTAAACTGGTGACAAAACACGAGTTCTTTTTTCACACACTTGATTTATCAAATTATATACTAAAAAATATTTATAGCAATGACACATTATTTTCATTCCAAGTTGAAATGACTAAGATCATTTGTAAACAGTAAATGATAGGTAAGCAATAACACGTGATTTAAACGTTGTACAAGAAAAGAATCCCCTTGGATCTGCTCTTTTATAAACCGAGAAAACCGAATTTTTTTTTTTCTTTTTTTTTTTTTTAAAAAAAAAAAAAATGGAAAAAGATAACAGTATTCCAAGATTAGATATCATTCCAACTGAAGTTGTTATTTCCATATTTAAATTCTTATCAATTGTTGATAAATGTCAATTATGTCAAGTTTGTAAGAGATTTCGGTTAATAATTTATAATAATCTGGAATTTTGGAAGTACCTTGACTTATCACCATTCGGAGAACGTCTTTCGAATCAAAATCTATTTATTATCGTAAAGACAAGATGGAAATCGAATATGGAAGGTCACAAACTTGATCTTAGTGGATGTCGATTAATAACTTCTTATGCACTTGAAAAATTAGTAGAGTTGCATTCGAATTTTCAAGAGATTCATTTAAATGTTGAACCTCGTTATGATAATTGGCGAAACGAGATGAAACATGATTATTGGATAAAAGAATTATATTATAAGAAAAGTCCAACTTTCTTGAAAAATGATCGTCTAGGATTATATCAAAGATGGGAAATTACGAAACCCTCTTATATATGGCAATGTTCAAATAAATCCATTCAAACGATTCTTACAGGATCTTTTAAAACTCTAAAACAACTTTCACTTGGCAACCAAATTCTACATCGTGAAACTGCTACGATGATTTCTAATTGTTCTCAACTGATTCGATTGGATTTAAGTGGAACCAATTTAGATAAGGCATCTCTACAAGACATTTTACAAAGTGTAATTCAATTAGAATCATTGAAACTTTTAGAACTTGAATTGTCTCCCATGACTTTAATGATGATTTCGCGATTGACAAATTTAGAACAATTACATCTTAGCGTACTTGACAAAAGAAATATTGCAGCAAAAACAATTGCAGATACGTTAAAAAAGTTGAGGAAATTAAAAGATTTTAGGATGAACCAAGCGATGATTGGAGAAGCAGATAATATAGTTATCAAAGGGTTATCATGGATCTATTGTGATGGACCGATTGAAGATCCAACAAAGATTTTAGAAGAAAACAAAATCAAGAATGGAGTGGAACAAAATAGGACACCACTTCAACATCTTGATCTTTCTCCTAAACTTGATATATATCCAAGAAGTCGAGAAAGATCCATGCAACTTGAGCATTATATCACCATAAGTAATTCATCTTTATGGTCCTTGGCCGTTAATCATCCATTTTTAATTTCTCTGAGGTTAGTAAATGCTTATGCTATTAGTGCTGAAGGTGTAGATGGATTATTGTCATCATTACAATGTTTGGAGGTTTTTGAATTGAGAAGATGGAGAGGGACAGAATTAGAACCACTTCAAAAACTAACACCAACATTTTGTCCTAAGTTGAGAGAAATTGTATTACATGGAGTGGAAGTTGCAAATTTCGATGAATGGATTAAAGAAGGAGAATGTCAAGATGAAAATTTAATGATAAAAAATAAAATTGGATTTCAAAATTTAGAAATTTTGGATTTAGTAGACGTTTTGAAATTTTTTAAATACCACATTGATATTATAATTAAAAATTGTGTAACCCTTCGTAAAGTGAGACTTGTACGCGTGGGAGATGTTAATTTTAAGGGTGATGAGTGTAAGCTTTCACATCTCGATAGTATTATAAATGATTCAGGATGGATGGATGTCTAATAAAATTGCGCGTCGTTTTTTTTTTAACTTAAGGAAAACTTGATTTCTTGTAATTTTTAATGCTAGTGAATTTTATATTAATTTTGGCCAACCAAATTTAGTTATCGTAATTATATGGAATTTTTTATGCTTGAAAAGTCATTTCCAGGCTTAAACAATAAAATTTAAATATTTGATGAACTTTATTTTGCGACACATAAATCGTTACGTCATTATGGATATCATGAGAAAAAAAAAACAGAGAGCAAATAAAACAAGGGATGGAAGATTCTCAAGAGAAAATGCGAAAAGACCACTAAGAAGATTTAAAGAAAAAATCGCGAAGAAACAGATAGATTATGAACCAACTCGCCCGCCTGCAGAACTTATTTTTTTCTCCATCCGAATGTCCTTCTTCATCCAAGGCAAGCCGCGGTGGCCAGGAAAAGATTTCCTTCGCCCAAGATAAGCCAGTCCAAGATGTCAAAGTGTAAGTTTATTTGGGAAGGCACATAACTGATTCCTCCTCCAGAATCAGTAGACCTCAATTAAAAAAGCTAAGAAACTTGCACTTTAATAATATTACTTTCTTTGTACCAATAAGCTTTTGTGCTGTTTTGATTTTGGGTCTTGATGATTTTTCGTCTTGCAAAATTTTGTTAAGGTATCTGCAAAAGATCCGATGCGTCACGCCTTGCTGGCAATTTTCGACGTGGTTCAAAGCCCAACAATCGAAATCTCTTAGAGACCAATACTTCGAGGATTTTTTTTCAAATTATTTTGGATATCGCTTATCGTCCATATTAACAAAGAATCATGAGAAAAGAATAATTATGAGAAGCAAAGAATTGTGGGAAAAAAGTGCGAAAAGGCAGAATATTTATAACAAATACCTGACGCGCTTTGGAGCGCATTGCTGTTTTACTGATAAACTTTACTGATACAACCTGATTGTTTTACTGATATAATCGCAAAAGTATTGTCCTTGTGGTATTAAGTTGATAACTATATAAATAACAATTGTTTTTATATAATCTGATCGGAGTTAAAAAATCATTTCTTGTGGCACCCAAGATTCCATCACTGAGTCCTAACACGTGATAATTATCGAATAAAATTTATCGTAACGCAGGCCATGTGCGTTTACATAACGTTTATTATTTAGTATATGATAAATGTGGTAAATGTGGTAAATGATACGTCAACGTTTTCCAATTATTGTTAATTATTTCTACACGGTCTTACATTTCCCACAAGGAATTTTTTTTTGTTCTCAATTTTCTTTTATTCGTTCCAGGTTTTCTTACCTTTTTTTTTTTTTAAAAAAAAAATATCACTTTTTTCTCTTCACTCTTTGTGTAATAGGACATCAATATGACATTTTCAAGACTATCATCAACTTTAAACGCAACTTTTAATCGTGGCGGACTTTTACTTTCCCGTTCTTTTCGACAAGATATCATTCGTCCAATAATTATTAATCGTGCTTTGTCTTCTAGTAAAATATCATTAAATGCAATACCAACAGCATATGAAGCAGATAAAGATTATTACGCATTGAAGGTTACGATTGATGACATTAGAGCAAAATATGGATTAGGGGGTAATCGTATCAAAGACGCAAATCTTGAACAAAATTCTGATTTAGACTTGGAAATTGATTTAACCTTGGCTGATGTCAAAAAGTTGGCTAAAATCCAACAATTATTATCAAAAGCTTCAAAGGACTTGTCTTCCTTAATTTCTAGTTCTTCCGAAAATTTTGAAGGAATTAGTGATGATGATATCGTTATAAAAGCCAACGCGAAAAGGTCTGTTTGGTTAGCCGAAGATGATGATGTTTCCGGTTATGCCGAAAAGGCTATAAAAGCTTATAAAGAGAACAAAGTTATTGGAGATGCTAATGCCTACGATTTGGATGATGGTAAAACCGAGAGCAACCCTGCTGGTTTTAGACAAGATTTATATAGTTAAAAATTTTTCCTGGTTAAAAATAAAAAAAAATGATTTGGTATGTGATTTTTATTATATGGAAAATTTTTTTTGATTAATAAAAGGTTTTTTGATTTTTAATCTGTTTCGGTTCATTTTGCCTTTTATTATTATTATTATTATTATTCTTTTTTTTTTTTTTTGATCAGATAAAACAGGATGTAATATGAGAGAAACGTCTATATTTTTATTCTTTTTTTCCTTTTGTTTATTTTGTTTATGTATTATTCAATGAAATTGTACTTTTTTGTAGTTTTGTTTAGGTTTTGTTTAGTAGGATTTCTTTACCTTGTAAATACCTTGAAATATATATTTATATTTATATCCTATGCGTTTTTATTTTTTTTATTTTTAGTAATTAGACCCTTGTCTGATAACAAAAGGGTATAAGTTTATTTAATAATTTACTTAAAATGGTAATTTGATTATTTTTTTAAAATGTGTAGTAATTCTTAATTTTATTTACAAATATGGTATAATTTAAAAATAAAAATAAAAAAAATAAAGGAATTTTTTTATTAAAACGAGAAAAATCAAATTGATTCTTTTAAAAAAAATTATAAACATTTTAACAAACAAAATTATCTACAGAAAAAAAATGCTAATTTTAAACCTCTTAACATAAACATATTATTCTAAATGTCATATATATTTCAAATATTTAACAAAAAAAGTGATGGATGATGAACAAATGAATGGATGAAAAATAAAAAATATATACTTTTGAAAATGAGAAATACTATTTTCCTAAAAACGAGGACTATATACAATAGTAATTTTCTCAATATATGATTACAAAATTAAAAAAAAAAAAAAAGGGATGAAAAGGTATCGACGAATTTAAGTTAAGTTTTTAATTTTTTTTTTTTTTAAAAAAAAGAGAAGAAACATATATATTTAATTCATCATATCATCATCATCTTCTCTTAATTCTCCTTCTTCCAACTCATCATCTGCATCATTTTGACCGGGTTCAAATTTAGGTATTGAATTCGCCATTCTAGGTGGAGATTGTGGTATTATACGTTCATGTTCCACCTCCTTTTTATTAATAGCCGGAACTGTATCTACTTTTATAGATGTTACTTCTTTAATTTGCGATTTCAAGGTTTGATTATTCGTTTCATTTTTTTCACTCTTGATTTGCGGTTTTATTCGTAACTTTGATAAAGCAGGAGTCACAGGTTTTGAAGTATGATCAACTTTCACGTCTGCTGTAAAAATTAAATTAATGTGTTAATAAACGTATCTATCAATTACAATATCAAACGAATGATCATACATATTTTTTACGCATGAAAAACGAACCTGTTGATTTGCCAATATCAAAACTATCCGCCGTGGGAGAACCATAATACTTGACATTATCAAATGTATTAGCATCACTTTCTAAATTAGTATGCTTCTCCAAGATTTCATTTTTTTGGGTAGAATAATGTGGTGACCTCGATCCGGCTTCCATTAAAAATTTTTCAGGTAACAACTGTTCCTTGTACTTTAATAAATTTTTGTAGCAACCAACAAGAGTAGCATTGACGACACCAGCAGCGGCTGCAACATCTTTATGTTCTACTTTTATTAATTCTGCATCGTCTGTAATATTACTGTAAGCTTTCGTTCTAGCTTCATTCCAAGTGCTTATAGATAACCATATTGAAGCAGCACCAACAGACACCGGACATTTTCCGGTGGTTATATTTAATTCACTAGCTTGTTTGTAAACATGAATAGCCGCATCAAGTATATGTGTAGGAAGTTTAAGATTTTGACACCATCGTTTCTATTAAATTGGTAAAGAAATTGTTTGTTAATCCCTAGAATAAACGATAATAAATGTGTAGAGTTTATTTTTTTTTAATTAATAAAAAAAAAAAGATAGCATACCAAATATTCAGCAGAATCAACGGTTCTCAATGAAGTTCCATTGGTTCCACCACCTAGCCCATTACTTTCAAATACTTTAAGCATTAGACGATAATACGTTCCAATCTCTTGCTTTCTAATTGAAGCAGCATTACAAATCTCAACAAAAGTGCGTGGAAGACCATTTTGACGGCATAAAATAAAGAGAATTGAAGCAAGGATATGATTGCGTTTACGATGAGGTTGTCGATTTTTCATTTCTTTGGATTGTTTGACAATTTCAAACACTTTTAAAGTTTCCTCCCAGATATTATGTGGGATCTCAATATTCTTTTCCCACTCGATATTATCTAATTCGAGCTTTTCGTCGTCTCTCATTGTTGATCTACGTCTAGGAGGACAAGGTCTTTGTGGTCTAGTACCATTGGTGGTTGAACTCGTAGAATCTGCTGCGATAGTTTTAATCGATGATGGGGAAGCGGTCATCTCAATAGGCGAACTGCAGATCATATTGTCCTTTTCTTTATTGCTCCCGTTTGAAGAAGTTGACCCTTTACGTGAAGCAAAGCTCGAGGTTGAAGCTTTACGTGATAAGATGCCATTATTGGTCGGTGAGTTCGGTCGCGACTTGTTGATAGGGGCGTTCGTATTATTAACGGTCGAGTTTATTTCTTTTTTAACATCCTCTATATCCTTTTGATGTTTAGAAACATTCGGCGGCAATGTAGATGGGGGAGGTGAATAACCACCGGTGGTTTGCTTATCACCATTTTTGGTGACGTTATTTATACCACCTATGTTGGAAGAAACGGAAATTTCGATTTCTTCTTCAACTTCTTCCTCAGTTTCCATATCATCACTATTCCACATATAATTACGTTCAGGTGGTTTGTTTTTCTCATCCTCAACTTCGGAACCATCATCCATAGCTAAATCACTATCTGAATCATTTCCAATAGGTAGAATCTTAACATTTTCATTATTATCATGCACTTTTTTAGGGACAACACGAGTATTTGGGATATTCTTTTCTAACTTCACCACTACATTTTGTTTCTTTTTCGATTTAGATGCAGCCTTCTTTTCTTGTACGTAAGAAGGTTTTTCTTTTTCCTCTTCCACCTCTTCTTTGATTGAAGACAAACTATATGAATCATCCTCATGCAAAGACATTTCTTTAACTCTTGTTGTAACCGATTGGTCATCTTGTTCCTCCTTTTTATTCTCAACCTCAACACCACTATCATTCACAACGGTGTTAACAACAGGAGTAATATCCTCTTCAACCATAGGTTCCTCTTTAATTTTGATATCATTATTACTAATGGCAACCGGTTCAACAGCAGGTGTAACTGCATTGTTAACTTCTGGTTCGATACTATGACTATTATCCGGATTTGATGGGTTGGTAGGGTTTTTCAATGATAATAGCAAAGTAGCGTCTTCTTCTTCTCTTTTAGAGATCACATCATCATCAATGTCCATACTATTTGATTTTGATTTCACTATATCATCTTTTTCATCATGAAGAGGAGCATATTCCATGACGACGTCATCATAATCTGCAGGAATAATACGTTCATTATTTTTACATCTTTTATTATTATTATTATTATTATCGTAATCATCTAGATTGTCCGTTGAAGGTGGTAACGAAGCATATTCTCTCTTACGACCTTGGTTTAATTGTGGTGCAACATACTTCACATTATTCTCGGGTAAAGGAGCAGGTGAATAAATATGAACCTCATCGGGCACTTTTGAAGAATCTTTAGCTTTCCTACCACGTTTTGAAGTGGAAGGACCAGAGATACTATTTTTCCTAGATCTAGAAGTCTGCGGTGGTTTTGATGGCGCAGCAAGATGATTATTCTGTGGATTGGAATCATTAACTATGTTTGGAACCACATATTGCACAAACACAGGGGTTTCACTTGAAGAATTTGGTGGTAAAGGTTGTGTGGAGGGGACAGGTTGTTGATTTGGTATAGGTCCAGCAGGTACGATAGGTCTTGGTTGTTTGGAACGACCTTTCTTTTTAACTGTAAGGTTCTGTTCAACAACAGGTTTATCCACATTGTGGGGAACGGGATTAATATTAACAGGAGCGCCACCATTCGAAGGGAATGACAGATTAGTGGTGGGAGCTATAGGGGTGCTAGGTGCCGGAGAAGAGGACCTAGTGGAAACCGATGAATTACTTCCTGAATGATGATGTGAAGGGGGTGCCAAGTGAAAAGGTGAAGTTTCACGGTTTTCGGACAAATACTGCTGAGTATTGAGAGAATTATGAGAATTATGAGAATGATGATTAGGTTGTGGCTGTTGCGGTGGCAAATGCAACTGCGGTGGAGTAAGAGGATGGGAAACGTTTTGTGGTGGAATCTGTAAAAGAGGTTGTTGTTGACTGTACATTTGTTGTTGGTGTTGAGGATGCTGTACATGAAGTTGGGAAGAAGGTGGGGGATATTGTTGTTGCATATGACCGTGAAGTTGACTTAAGTTATGCTGCTGCTGTTGTTGTTGTTGTTGTTGCTGTTGCTGTTGCTGATGATGATGATCAGTCCTTAATAAATTTCTACCATCCATAACGTTCGGACCCGAAGATGTCACATCACGACGAACTGGATGATCGATTAACGGGGTATTACGAACAGATAATGGATCATGAGAGGGAGTCACATGAGATGAAGCGGATGACATTACCAGAGGAGCGGGTTTACCAGAGTAGACCTGAGGATGATATTGACGATGAGAATTATAAGAAGGGGCATGTGAAACGGTAACAGAAGGTTGATGATCATGCTGACTTCTTTCGGGCACAACATCGTTATTATTATTATACATATGAGAATGTTGAGGTGGTTGTGAATATCCTTGTGGCACTTGTTGCTGCGGCAGTTGTTGAGGAAGGTGATGTGACATCTGCAACGAATGAGACGAATGAATTTGATGGTGATGGTGAGGATGTGTGGGATGTGATTGGAGTGACTGTGGATGATGATGTGGCATTCGTTGCGAAGAAGCTGCCTGTATCTGTTGCTGTTGCGGTTGATGTTGCGGTTGCTGTTGCTGCTGCTGATGATGATGTTGGTGTTGTTGCTGCTGTTGATGTTGATGTTGATGTTGTTGCTGTTGCTGAGATGACGACTGTTGCGGCTGATGCTGCGGCAGGGTCGATTGATAGTGACCATGTTGGGGAGCAAGCTGATTAATTTGATGAGGCTGAGTAGGCGTTATCTGATTCATTTTATGATTTACAAAATATCGTTGAGTTGGATAAGATGGAAATGAATTGATCTCTGAAATCGAAGGATGATGCTGATGAGTATGTTGTGGTAATGAATGAGATGAATGCTGTTGTGAATGTTGTGATACATGATAATGAGAATCTTCGTTGGACGTAGAATTAAATATCGATTGATAATTTTGAGTGGTTTCAAGCGGTGGCAAAAGAGGTCTTTGAACATCCGATTTAAGTTGAGAATGAATATTCTGTAAATATTGCGGTTGTTGCTGTTGCTGTAACGGAATCATTCGTGATGGTGGTTGTTGCTGTTGTGATGGAGGTAATGGTAATGGAGGAGGAGGTTGTTGTTGAGGTATAGGAGGAGGTGATTGATGAAGCAATTCTCTTATAGGAGGTAACGTAATCTGCGGAGGTTGTCGTGAAGGAAGCGGATTGCGATCGATATGATGAAGCGAATGATGTTGAGGGTTATGAGGAAGATGAGGCGCTAAAGTTTGTTGTTCCATTGTGGATTGTATATGCGTAGGTTCTTTATACTGATGATGATCGAGATGAAAGTTTAGTTGATATTTTCTTGGCTTTGAGGGATCCTCTAACACGAACGCATAAGTATTATTATTGCTGTTAATTCGTTCCTGAGTCATAGAAAAAAAAAATTTTTTTTTTTTTTTTTTTTTAAATAATGATTATGTGTAAATGGACGTTTTTGTTTCTTCCTCGGGTTTTTTTACTGGTTTATTATTATTTTTTTTTTTTTGTTTCTCTTTTTAAATAAAAAAGTAGTGTGTAAATTTCGACGGTTTCCTTTCTTTGATTATATACGTTTTTATTATAATAGGGAAAAAGTGGAAATATATATAAAAAAAAAAAAAAAATTTTTTTTTTTTTTTTGTTATTTTTTTTTTTAGGGGAATTTGAAAGTATTTATAGTGAAAATTTTTTTAGACTTAATTTAAATAAAATAAATGTAAACTCAAAAGTCAAACAAATCAAATAAGTTTGAGAAAAAAAAAGTGGAAGAAGGAGAGTGAGTGAGCGTATTTATAGATGAAGGAGGGAAAACTCAGGTGTTACATGATAAATGCTTAATTTGGGTAGGGGCGTATCAATAAAATTTTTTATACTTTTTTATATACGATATAAAAGGATTAGTGTCAAAATTAAATTCGAGTTTGAAAAATTTTAAAATGATTATTTATATTAAACAATTATGGAAATAACTGCAAGGAAAGAGTAAATTATTTATGTACGGCAAATGCTACATATTTATTGTGTTACAAATAAACAGAAAACATAAGTAAATAGTATAAAATAGTAAAAAAAAAAAAAAAAAAATGTAGAGAACATACATAGAGTTGTTGTTGTAGTAATATATGTATAAATTATATATAAATTAAATACAATAATAATCTTGATTAGTACTTGATTTAGAGGGTAAGTGGCTCACTTTTGATTCTATTAGAAGCAAAACCTATGTGAAAAACAACTGTTTTGAGAGCTAGCACAATATGCACCTGATGTTGCATCAAGTATCTATTGGATAAAAATGATTAAAGCTCTTTTTTTTTTTTTTTTTTCCTCTGCTTTTCGAGGCATGTTTTCACGCATAATCCAATCATCGGGTCTCCTCCATAAAAAAAAAAATGGTTTCGAACAAAGTAATGAGATATGAAATCAAACAGAAGAATGGGTGACACAGAAAAAAAAAGCGGAGAATGATGAGAAAATTTTCAAACATAAAAGGAATTCCAATGATTACAATTATGTTGTACAAATTTATCTTATAAATAAAATAAAATACAATTACAACTTGAATATATTGTGTATACAAACAATTAATAATCATCGACTCATAGGCCTAAAAGAATATTGATAAAGGATGAAGCGATTAACCAAATAAAGTGGGTACCAAGAAATGTTCGGAGAGATAAATCCATATTTAAGGACTACTGTATTGCAAATCCGATGAATCAATCAATCAATCAATGAAGCCTCACTTGGTTTTAATAATAATCACAACCTTTTTTTAATATATAATGGGTCATATTTGTGATTTTCCTTTTGCATGTTTACGATGTTGCGATGTTTTTCGCAGAAAAAAAAAAAAAAACGTGTTTTCTTTCGTCTTTCATTTAATCTCCCGATTCTTTTCTCAAAATAATAAATACTCTCAATGTCCGTTCCCACCTGTTTGTTTACGGATTATTCATTTATTTTCCTCACCCTCAACCCCTCACGAGCGTTTTTTTAACCGGTCTGCTTTGGTAGTCGTGTGGGTTTTTCTCTCGTTATTTTTATCTATTTTTTTATTTTTTTTTTTGTCACCTTGCTCGTAAAGACGGATGTTTATTTTCTCGCTAGCCTTTTGCCGTCCATCCAACATTTGCATTTTTGGTCATTCAGATGTCAAAAATCCGCCTGCACTTATATTGTTCTAAACAAAATGATGATCACATATTAATAGTTGGTGAAGATCTCATTCTGCTTTCCCAATTGGGGAATGTGATTTATTTTATTATTTTATTTTATTTTCAAGATAAGTAAAAAATAATATATATATATTATAATCATTCAGCTTATTTTAGTAATCCGTTTATTTTTCTTTTTGTCGCTAAGCAACAACAAGCATCGTCCTTTTGTAAACATTAATAATCACCTTTCTCCTCGGCTTGGTTGTTTACACTTGTAAAATACTACTTGGCTTAGCGAGTGATAAAAATGTTGCTGCGCATCCTTTTCCAAAAACCTCTTTTTTTTTAAAAAAAAAAAAAAAAAAAAAAATAATAGAAAAAACATTTCGTTTTGTTGATGTTTACAACTTTAGAAATGAAGCGAAATAAAAAAAGTAAGGTTCGTGATACGAAATATGTTGTGTTGTTTATGATGTTTTGCCACACTATAAACCTTATATAAACACCATGCAATTTTTTCTGGTTTTCTCATGCATTTAATTTAGACTTTAAACTACTCTGTATAGTTTTGTACAAAAGTATTAACCATGTATACGATCAAAAATTGTATCTTTTATGGTACAAAGAAATTTTTTACATAACCTTGTTTGTGTCACGAGTGACCACAAAATCCATCACAAAATCCATTACAAAATAAAAAAAATCAAACGGGCGTGATGATATACGCGTTCGTCATTATTTACCCATTTTTTGCAATTTGGGATTTATAAATGTTCTGAATAAGGGGCAAATTTCCTTTTTCTTCTCTTTTTCCATAGAGGGAAAAGACGATTCTTGTAATCATCGGATAAATGAACAAGATTTGGTTGTCGGATCGCCCACCTTTTTTTGTCTTTAATTCTATTAACGTCATGGTGTCGATTTTTTTGTCACACCTTTACACAACATCAAATCCTTTTTTAAATAAATTTCGATTTTTTCTGGCTTTTTCCCTCATCGTCTTTACCTTACATTTTTTGGAAAATGGATAATGTCGGACAACAATCATCTGCTTCCACCTCTTCCACACCCTCTGCCGCTTCACAACCCACGAGCGTTGGTGCTGATCTAACTTACGTTCCATACTCTTCCGAATTGCAGCTACCTAGAATCATGAGCTTGATCGAAAATGATTTATCTGAACCTTACTCCATATACACGTATCGTTATTTTATAAACAACTGGCCTAATTTATGTTTTATGGTAACGATCGTTCTCTCTGCTGCTTATCGTTCTTTTTGAGAAAATCTGATCAAAGTTTTTTAATTAATTAATTTTTTTAAAAAAAAAAAGGCAATGGATCAGGACGAGTGCATTGGTGTGATAATCTGTAAGTTGGATCAACATCGAGAGGCTTTACGTGGTTATATTGCCATGTTGGCTGTAAAAAAGGAGTATCGAAAGAGGAAGATCGGTTTGTAATTTTTTTTCTCTCGTACCTTTTTTCTTCTTTTTTGATAAAATATTAATATTAGCATCTCGCAGGATCTACGTTGGTGAGGATGTCTATTAATGCTATGATAAAACAAGACGCCGATGAGGTAACGACGACAGCGATTTCAAATGTTCAATTGTAAAAACTGTAAACAATGATTTATTTATTACTTATTTATTAGATTGTGCTTGAAACGGAATATACCAACCTCGGGGCGCTCTCCCTATATCATAAATTAGGATTCATTAGAGATAAACGATTGTATAGATATTATCTTAATGGCGTGGATGCATTTCGTTTGAAATTATTTTGCAAAGGTGGCGAACAAGTCGTTAAAGAGGAATCCCCAATTGGTAAATCATAACGTGATTTTACGTCACTTTTGCTCACGTGTCACGACAATCTTTGGTTTTATAAATACGTCGATTTGATTTTGGATTCGATTTTTCCGAGTCTTTTTCCCTCCGCAAAAATTTTTTTTTTTTTTTCTTTTTTTTTTTTTTTATTGCTGTCAAACCTTCCTTCTGTTTTTAGAAAAAACATTTTTTTTTTTTTTTTTTGTTTACCCTTCTCTCTTTTCCATACACATCATTTTACGAAAACCACTAATAATCTCTTCACCCTCATTTACATTTCTTTGTACTTGTTAAACAACGAAAGATCAGAGTTTTACTATTTATTTGATTAATTAATTCATCATGAATCAATTTTTCTCATGCATAACATTTGGTCTTTGTCTTTTATGGTAAACATTCCGGAATTTTTTTGTTCCTCAATGATTAAAATTAATAAAATTTTTTGGTTATAATTATTAATTCTTATTCTACATTTATACATTATACCTTTTTTTTATTAGCTTATTTATTGTAGTGGTACATGCAGACACAACAGAATTTACAGAAGAAAGCAAAACAAATGTTGAGAAGGTTAGTAGCAGCAGTATAGAAAGTCAACCACAGGCGCAACCACAATCACAAAAGCAACAACAATCACCTCAAACTACAAATGATGATTCTGTAAATAATTTACCTTCCAACACTTTGCCTTCTTCAACAATTGTACCTAATAACAATACTGGACTTGTCGAGTATATCTGTCATCCGACTGGCGAATGTGAGCCTTGTGAAGTACTCGAATCGGTAATTATTGTGCTAATCTCCCCTCACACATACATATACATATTCATTACATTTGTATAAAAAAAGATGACAATTAAAATCGTAAATTAATCATACGTGTGCATATTCATAGAAAACCGAAAAGTACTGTGATGAATATGGTAATAAAGAACCTGTAGAGTGTCGTTATGTACCTGATGATCAATCATCCGGAAATGTCTCTTATCCAAATCGAGGTCCCCTACCGGAGTTTCGGGCTTGTAAAAGAGTTAAAAGATTTGAGAGAACAAAATACTTTGAATTCCAGGTAAATTCTAGATAGATCTTTATTGTAAAAGGTAATCGGTCCGATCGTTATTAATTTTTTTTTTTCTTTTATAGTTTATCAATTTCATTGTCGCGGTTACGTCATGTTCAATATTAATATGGAGGAGGAGAAAACTTGCAGAAGATGGATATAGAAGGCTGGCGAGAAGAATAAGGGGCAACACTTTATGATGAAATAAATAACCCACCCACATCATTACTTTAGCTTTTTTATTATTTAGTTTTCAACACCACCTTTTTTTTTTTATTTTATTTGGATTGTGTGGAGACAAGGTATAATACATGTAACAAATATTAAAGAAAAATCATTGATATTTTAAATAATCGTACGGGTCAGGGCATCAAACTTGTAGAGCTTGTGGCAAGGTTTCCCCGCAAGGACCAATGCTATTATTATACAAACAAAAAAAAAAAAAATATGAAATATTTTACTAATTAAGATTTACGAAAACAGAAACAAAAAAAAAAAGGAGGAATTGTACAAACAATTTGAAGTCGGCGTTTCCGGTATTTTCAATGTTAAAAATCGCAATTTTTCCACCACGCGATCTAACATACTCGGAATATCCAGCTGCAGGGTACACGAAACCACTAGTTCCGATAACCAACAGTAAATCACACCTGTCTAGCTCGACTTGAATCTTGCTCGTAATCTTTGGATCCAATAGCTCATTAAACCAGACCACATCGGGTCTTAACAATCCTTTACATTTTGTACAAGCAGGAAGTTTTTCGATGGGAAGATCGATGTCAAACTTGGAATTTTCGGTTCCTTTTAATCCCTCACAGATTGGGAAATCGCGATTTTCTTCAATATCACCACATTGCATACAACGAGTTCTAAATAGATTTCCGTGCATTTCAATGTAATTCTTCAGGTTTGATGATATGCCATCAACATTTTGTGTTATAACGGTAAATGTTTGAGTTTGTGGTTTTTGAGAAAGTATTTTGTTTTCAAAATCCACCAAAGCCTTATGTGCCTTATTCGCTGTTTTTTGTAATACTAATCCTCGACGATAATTATAAAATTCCCAAATTCGCGACGGATTGCGTTTAAATGCCTAAACAAGAAATTCGATTAATTTTTTTTTTTTTTGTAATAAAAAAACTTTTGTAGCTCACACTTAAAGTTGCAAGCTCGGTTGCTTTGTAATTTCTCCACCAGCCACCTTCTCCTCGAAACGTCTATAATAATATTGACAATAACAGTTTATAAGGTTAATAAAAGTGTAAAAACCATTTTTATAAAACTCATTATGGAAGGTAGGCAAACCGGAATTCCGCTTTCTGCAGAAAGCCCTGCTCCACATAACGTGGCAATATGTTTGGCTGACTTCAACGCTTTAAAGTAAATATTTGAATATGCGTGCAAATATTAGATGATAATTGTACAACACAATTAACAAAAAAAAGAGAATAAAAGAGAGACCTTGATGAAAGGCTTCATAATTAGTCGACATTTTTTTTTGTTAAACCAAATTGATATGATGTTAAAGTAGTAATTTCAAATATGTTCATTTATTTTGATCTAATTATGTCATCATGTCATTGTAGATCATAAATAAACAAATAAATAATTATACGAGATTTTTTTTTTTTGCTTTCTCAATAAAAAAAAAAAAAAAATATGACTAGTATTCCACCAAATTACACTTTATATGTTCGAAATCTAAACGAAAAGACCAATAAAGATGGTAATTTACATTGTAATCATTATCATGCTTCATGGAATATATATATATATATATATATATATTAATCCATATCTTATTATGATCTGATTTAGAATTGAAAAGGTCTTTATACTCCCTGTTTTCAGCGTATGGACGTATCATTGATATTGTCGCTTTGAAAACAAAAAAAATGCGTGGTCAAGCTTTTATCGTTTTTAAGGAAATTCAAAGCGCTACTTCGGCCATGAGGGGGCTTAACGGTTTCAACTTTTACGATAAACCAATGGTGAGTATTTCTGCTTTTCTATCTTCTGTCTTCTTTTCTTTTCTTTTTTTTTTTGAATTGCTTTCTATCTCTCTCTCGAGTTCTAGTTCTCGTTTCTTTTTTTTTTCGATATGAAGCTTTTTTTTTTTATTTACAAGATTTTAAGAAAAAAATCCTTTTATTTTATTTAAATCCTCCTCCTAATTATTATAAAGGGCGATTCCAAAAAAAAAAAAAAAAAATTAATTAATTAATTATGGAGGAGTATATGACTATTTCTTAAAAAAAAACGAATGCAGCTGACCTGTTGGGTTTTTTTTTCTTCTTTTTGTATGTATGGATCGTAATGCCGGATTCTCTCCATTATTCTTATTATTATTTTTTTTTTTTTGCTAAAAAAAAAAAATGGATAAATAAATGAATCTTTTATATAGCATATTGAATACGCAAAAGGTAAATCGGAAGCCATCGCAAAATTAGATGGTACGTGGAAAAGACCCGGTATTGCAACGACGACGACCAATGTCACCGCTTCACGCGCACAAGCTTATGGTCATCCCATTTCATCACCTGCACAGAAAAGACAGCGGGAGGAAGAAGGTAAGATGAACCCATTATATGATAACGATCACCATGATTTTAAAAATGGCAATGTTCTCCTTTCAAGACATTTCAGATACTAAAAGGGCGGCAAACGGAGGGAAAGAAGAGAGGGAATCGGAGTCACCAGAGATTGGTAAATAATGTTAATGGGGTTTGAAAGATGATTTGGTTGTTATTGTTGGTTCCCCCTCCCCCCATTTTTGTACCTTCCTCATTTCTCACAATCATAAATCGTATTAATTAGAAGAAGAAGAAGAGGAAGATGAGAATGCGCCAGAAGTCACCGTAAAAGGAGAGATGGAACTTATCAATAGGATATTGTATATACAGAATTTACCACCGGACGTTACGGATGAGATGTTGAGCTTTTTGTTTCAACAGTACGTACGCTATATTGATTTAATTAAATCCTTTTCTTTTTAAACCTTTCTTATTATTTGAATAAAATTAACGGGAAAACCCTTTTTTTTTTTTTAAAAAAAAAAAAAAAAAGATATCCCGGTTTTAAGGAAGTACGTCTCGTTCCTGGTAAATCGGATATTGCTTTTGTGGAATATGAAGCCGATCATCAAGCGGCTGTAGCAAAGGATGTACTTGATGGATTCAAGATTACCCACGATAAGGAAATGAAAGTGACATTCTCAAAGAGATGAAGAAAATGGGTGGTTGTTTTTTAAAAAAGAAACATGGGACGTTAAAAATTAGAATTGTTTGGGATCTTTCTTAAAGTGGTAAGCAGGAAATTTTTCTATTTGATCCTCTCCCCCCCCCCTTTTTTTTGTTAATCATCAAAGTAAATAAATAAATAAATAAATATTTTTTAAAAAAAATCAAATCAAGTCGTGTGTCATATTACCCGTGTGCATATGCATTACATATTTGATTATTTCAAATTTAGAAAGTGCTCATTTATTTCATTTATTAAAAAAATAACAAACAACTAAATTAGTACAGACAGCAAACAAATATTAAAAGACAAAATTTATATTTGACCAATCACAAATTAGATAAATCAAATCGAAATCAATTTTATTATTATGACGAAACGAAAGATAAAATAAAACAAAAATAAAGAAAATATTAATAAAAAATATATATATATTATGTGAAAAAAAAATAATAATTATTATTATTATTATTATTTTGTTTGGAGTACCATTAAATTATTTCACGTTTTCCAAAAACTCCGAAAAAAAAATCCTTTCCTTTTAAGAAATAAAAAATCAGTCATGATCTTTAATTAAAAAAATTTTTTTTTTTCTTTTCTTTTTTAGAACTATTCTCCAAAAAAAAAAACAAAAACTACAAGTTTTTTTTTTTTTTTAAAAAAAAAACAAAAACTACAAGTTTTTTTTTTTTTTTAAAAAAAAAAAAAAAAAAAAAAATTTTTTTTTTTTTTTTAAAAAAAAAAAAAAAAAAAAAAAAAAAAAAAAAAAAAAAAAAAAAAAAAAAAGGGAGAAAAAAAAAAACCACAGAGAATTATATTTATCGGACAATATATATATATATCCTTGACAAATAAAAAAAAAAAGAAAAAAAAAAAAAAAAAAGGAATTTTTTAAAAAGGTGAAATACTGTACAACTTGCAAAGGACGTAAAATAAAATATCTAATATGAACATGTGAACCTATTAAAATTAATTCATAATATACATATTTTTTTTTTCTTTCTTTTCCTTACAATGATTCATCACTTATTAACATTTTTTCTGATTCTTCTTCCCAATCACCACAAGCACCTAATATGACATTGGTATTACTTGATAAAAGCGTGTCATCGTCATCACCAACTTGAGCTTCACCATTTGAACCACTACCGCCATCTACCCTTATTGCATAACAAACTCGAACAACATGATGTTTAGAGAATGGTAAACTATATTTAAGAACTCCACGCACGGTTAAATCATATTGACCCCTTAAAATATGTGACCTATCAAAATCAGAAATAACAAATAAACAAGAGAATACGATAAATAAACTAAAGACATTACGATGATTTACACTTACCATCTGCCTTGACCTTCTTTGTCATGTTCGCCACCGGGATTTCGCAACCTAACTTGTCCCGATGGTTCACTTACCACACCCTTTCGATTAACACCCGCAGCAAATACGAGTGGTTCATCGAATAAAAGTATACTTCCTAAAAATTCACTAGGCGTAACATCATTTAAAGTTTGATTTTTGACATCATCCCAGTGACTTCCTGGACCACCGGGAATCCAACCAGGCGCATTATTATTATTAACAGGCGTGGCAAAAACATTAAGGTCTGAATGCACGATCTCAACATTCCAGAGACCAAAATTACGACCCATCACATGAATGTTAAACATAAGTTCCTTGTCGGCAGCAAGGACATCTGATATATCAATAATGCTAACATCCGTTAATGGGAGTGTAGATGTAAAATATATTACATAAGAGAACACCATAAGAAACAAGATGAATGCTGTTAATGAGGAGGATGCTGTACAAAATGATTGACTAAAGAAATAATTATAATAATCGTTGGATAAGTTTCTTGTATTAAAAAAAAAAAATTTTTTTAAAGACATCTCAATTTCTGATATTTACCTTTGAGGCGTTTCAAATTTTGGTGGTTTAGCAAATAATGGTAATCTCTCCTCATCACCGTACCAACCATTATAAAGATAATTCGTAGAACCATAATTAGGGTATCCTTTTTTATATTGAGCCACATATTGAGACATATCAGGTAATGAAGATCGCATAACTCCGGTTGGCTTATAAGTATTGTGTTGTGAACCACTCGATTGGTTTGAATTCATGTCGTCCGTGTCAGATCCGGATGAATTTCCGTTGTAATAACCATAAAATGGAGGACGATTTAAATAATTATTGTACGAACGATGTGAGGGAATCGCACCGTATATATTCGAAGGCATGTGAAATGGATATCCATAATTGTTATCGGATGGCATATGTGGATGTGGAAATGGATATGCTTGTAACTGTGGCATTCCATAAGATGAACTTGTCAATGAAGGTGTGCGAGAGTGACCGTTACTATATATATAATCCTCCTCTTCATCAGCATCTTTTTTTTTTTTTAAAAAAAAAAAGAGCAAGAAAAAAAGTACGTTAAAACAAAATAATGTATTACAAAAAGATCACTAAACATCGTAATACTCTTTACCTTCAGCGGCATCTACGGCACTAGCTACATTGGCAGCAAATATATCAGCTCGTGACATTCCTGTGTAACGCATACCAATTAAATTTAAATTAAATAAAATGGTATTTCATCGAATACAATGAAACAGTGGGCAAAAACAAAAAAATAAAACCCAAAATTATCACCGGAGATAATGGAAAATACGCCCACCTTCGGTAATGTTGATTGGCGCGCGTTTTTTCTTTTTTAAAGGTTTCATATTTTCTGCCATTTTATTAGACCGTTGGTCAGACTATTTAAAAGATTAAAATAGATTAACACCTATTTTTTTTTTTTTTTTTTTTTCGTAGAAATTAAACGTGATCCATCTTGTAATCGCTCAGGTTAATCCGAAATAGATTATATTATGAAATTGTATATTAATTCCTTTCAAAAAAAATAAAAAAATCTCGGGATATTACATATTATTAAAATTACAATAATAATAATTATTATAATAATGATAATAATAAAGTAGTAGTAATAATAATCATCTTGATAACTAAGATTTTTGATTTTACCTGTGTACCGTCCTTTTTTCCATTCCAATTACAATAAGCGGTCTCTACGATTAATTGTCTATCAGATTTATTTTTCATATTCCTTGGAGCGAACTTGTCTACCAACTTTTTAGCATGAGGAACTAACGGTTGCTGTTTTTGTGGTGGCTGTGGCTGATGTGGCTGTTGCCTCAGTTCCGGTTGTATATTATTTGAAATATCACCACTACAAACGCTTCCATTATGATTTCGTGGTGAAGGATTGATATACTCCATTGAAGAAGGTTTCTCGGTTATTATGGACTGTGTTGGCATACTGGTAGACATATGTTTTGAAACTTGTGAACTTTGCCCAAGCTGCGGATTAACTATATATGAAGACATATTTCTACTTTTATTTTTTAACTAATCTATATAACGGTAAATGGGAATATGGGAATATGGCTACAGGGAAAAAAAAAAAAAAAATGGGGTCGGAGTTTATAAGGAAAGGAATTATTTAATAATATTCTATATGATTTTTAATATAAAGATTATAATTCGTTTCGTTTTTTGTTTTGTATTTTACTAAATTATGAGCTTTATACTTTTTACTTTTTTTTTCTTTTTTATTTTTTTTTTGTTGAGACTTTGGTAGTAAAATGGTATTGTTTATATTAGTGTTATCTATGACCCAGGTGATAACATAACGTCTTTGAAGTTCTCGTGTTTTAAGCAGACAAATAATAACCTGTATAAGTGTGTTTGGGGGATACAGACTCTATAAATATGACGATTTTTATGAGATGTTTTTGTCTCGGAAAGGACAAAACTATTAACAACACAATGAATAAATAGCTATTTTAAAAATTTTTTATTCTTTTTTTTTTTTTTTTCTTCCTCTAAAATTCTATGAATAAATTTTTTTTTTCGAAAATAAATGAAGGATGAGTGTTGAAGCATCACAACATTTTTACGATCCTACGCATTCTAGCTTTTATAAATTTATCTGCAATAATATGCGCAAAGGAACTGATAGACTGATAAATCGATAATGTTTAAATAATCCAAATTGGGGATACTTCCAAACCCCCCAGGTATGACTAAAATATAAAAAGTGCCTTTTTTCGTTACACTATTTATCGAAAAATTTTTTTTGTGGTTCATCACATGATACTTTTGCATGATATTGCATATGATGAAAAAATTTTTATTTTCCCTTTTTAATAGCATTTCGATCTGATTCTTTGTGAGTTATTCAAGAAGCAACAGTACAGGTATAGAAAAATTGGTTTAATCACATACTATTATATCCTCAATCAGATCACATCTGGACTAAAAGAGTATGGCTCATGATCTCGTCATGCAAGAGAGTATCATTCATATCGCATTCTCAGGAGTAATACAGGAATGATACGGGATCCTTACAAGAAAATCCAAGGGATTTAAATTTTAATCTTTGATTTCTAAGCAGAGCTTTGCATAGATCTTGAGATAGGTGATTATATGACTTTGATTTCAATATAAATTTTTTTTAATTTATCCAAACTCTGTCTCATTGAGAATCTAAATTTATCATATTGATTCGTTATCTTATATATAAATAAAGTAATCACTTTGATCCTTACAATGTAAAGACTAGCAGTTATATTATATAAAAACATTTAATTGATCATATAAAAAAATGAAAGAAATATATAAACATAAATCAAACCTTTATCAAATTCAAAATTTATTACTCGTCCTGTAACATTACCTATATTTTACATCTTAATAATCATACAACAAAGTTTTCAAATTTTTAATCAATTACAATAACAGGGGTCACCTTTCGTTTCTCTTCTGAATATAAAAAAAAAATAAAAATTCATCATTAATTATTTGGTCATATTACAAATTTTCAAATAAAGAAAATCCATATAATACTTACGCCAAACTACCACTTTACCATTAGAAGCTCCACCAACAATCAAGTTCAATTTTGGGTGAAAAGCGTTAATAGCTGATTTGATGTGATCATCAATACTTGTCAGAAAGGTTGAAATTAATTTAAACAAATTAATAATGATATTTAATTTCGTTTTACCTGGTATGGCAGTCAATCTCTCATCGCGCATATTCCAAATCAAATCACCGGTCACTGCTGAATATATATCAGCTGATCTTTTCAAATTGCCAACAATAAAGTGGGGATGCAAATTTGGATTTGGATTCCAGCTGGCGTGAAACGCGGAGACCCACCTTTACAGAAGATTTACTAATATATTAACCCATATGAACGTATACATGAAATTTGAAAACGAACATTAAATTTTTTACCCGTACCTTCCTACTTGATTGTTATGTGGGATTTGTATGCGCTCTTTTAGTTTTCTTTCTTCATCATAATTAAATACCCGTATAAAATTATCAAAGCTGGTTGAGACCACTTTATCGCCCGTGGGACTCCAATATGCGCTAGACACGGCATTAGTGAACGTGCATTCTTGAATGGTACTATCCGGTCCCAACTTGCGAACATCCCAAAGACACATTTTCTTTTCCAAGGACGCGGTAACCATTAGTTCGGGACATTTTGGATTCAAAGAAACACACCCAACCTTCTTATCATGAAGTTTGTGACCAGTAAAAACACTCGTGGGCTCTCGAATATCTTTTATTCCGACAGTCCCTTCATTTGTTGAGAAGTAAATAATTTGCCCAGTTGGATCCATATCAAATTGAGTATAGGTGAAATCTTCATTCACAAAAGCTTCCATAAACCTCGCTTTATTTAGGTCAAAATAACGAATCGAACCATCATATGAACTAGTATAGAGCATATTAGAATTTGTAGGAGAATATTTTGAACAAGTTATGGAACTAGTATGGGCTTCAAACATAAAGGTTTGACACTCGTCTTTGCCATGACTATCCACATTCGATTCATTAACATTCCAGAAACCTAAAAAGCCTTGTTTATCACCCGCGGTTACTAGTATCTTTTCTTTTGAGGGATGAAAGGACAAACAATATATCCTTCCAGGAGTCACCTTGACAGATGACCAATCTTCAGTACTTTTGAGAGAGAGAGATCGACATCTCCATCGTATTGCCTTTAAACCCTCCCTACCACCCGGAACAGAATCGAAATTAATCTCGTCCGTTTGACTTCTTTTAACTTCATCACTGTCTTGCCTAGAGTCTTTGACCTTCGATAAATCGGAAAGGATTCCCATAAATTGATTAGTATCATCGATTGATGTTCTGTTGGAACGAATCGCGTGCAAGGCAAGAATGCCCTCTAGACGAGCTTTTTTATCGATTTTTAAAAATTGCCCATCAATCTTCCATTTTGGATCTGGTTTTTCTGCTTGTACGCCACGTATGCGCAAAGACTTTCTCATAGGCTGAGTCGGTTTTCTTTCAGTTTTCGGCCTTGGTTTCGGCTTTGGTTTTTTAAAAGAGTTGACAAGCTCTGGGATATCGAGCTGTTTTAGGATTTCCTCATTTTTACGAATATTTTCGAGACGTTGACGCTCACTAATAGATAATTCATGCAGGGAATAATCAATAAAAATATTTCTAATAAATGACGCGTCGTCAAAAAATATTTTACTTACTATTCGTTCATAGCGTTGTTATTTTCCATACTCATTTTTTTGGTTAAAAAAGAAATTGATATTAGATATTAAGGAACGCGTCTTTTTTAAAAAAAAAAAAAAAAAAAAAAAAAATTCTCGCAAGTTATGTGTGTACCTGGGGTAATCTTTAAATAGAAATTTTAGTGTTTGCAAACTATTCTGGGATCATATCACGCAAAGAGTGAAATCCGTGGGATTTTTGATTGCTTGATTTATCGAATTTTTTATGACATTTTAATACCTAATTTATTGTATGATGATTTTCTCATGTCATCGGAAATTAAATAAGTTACTATAGTAGCATGTGATCGAATTTCCCGATAAATTCGTGTGGCTTAGATCAACATCAAAAAGGTTATTTCTTTTCCCTCTCTTCCCTTCCTCTCCTCATGAAATGAGTTTGAATTTTTCGGTTGGGGTAAGTAAATTTTTTTTTTATTAAAGAGTTATTTCGAGAATAGAATTTTTAAAATATGATGAAAAATTTGTTTCCTTTGGCTGTCTGATGAAAGATGAGGATAAAAAAAAAACACAATCGCTAGAAAATTATATTTCTGATGAAAGAAAAAAAAAATACATTTATTTTAATTTTTGTGAAAAGTAGATGTTTAATTAAAAATAATTTTGCCTTTTTATTTTTTATTGATGATATTTAGATACCATTACGAATAATTTAAATCAAATAAAATATACTTAATAATCAAGTTCAGAAATTTCTTTGGGGTTGGCAAAAAAAAAAATTGGCCAAAGGCACATGATTCAATTTATCGCTATAAATAACTCGTTTATGACTAAGTTTTTGTTGTGGTTGAAATAAATATCATTTTTCCTATCTCGCCTAATTTTAATTTTTTTTTTTTTTGGTTTTCGTATGATTTCGGCCTTAACGACGAAAAGGCATGATTTACACATGACGTGATTATTACCTCAAGACTAATATTGGCATTCATTTCATATTCTCCGATTACTACTATAGGTTTATTTCAAATCATTTACTACATATAAATTTATATAATTGTGTAACACATCATTTAAAATCATATACAATGAAATTTTTAAACGTATCGTATCACAAATTTCCGCGTGGAACTTTAAAAGAATCATACAATTCATGTATAAATATAGAGTTTCGGTTTAAAAGTATCAACAAGTCTACTTTTTTTCTTTTTCCTCCACAAATAAGAATAAAAAAAAAAATTTTAAATTTTACCTAAAATTTCTTTATTATCAACATGTCGCAACAACCAATTTCGATCGTTGTAAATAATAAACGTATGAGCTTGATGGGGTCAATGTTTTTACCTGCGCCACCTCCACCTTTCTTCGAATCTAAGGAGCAAGAAAATTTTAAACTATGTAAGGTAAACCCGAATAATGGAGTTTACCTTCCGCCAACACCAAATGAAAAATCCGGACATGAGGAATGGCATGATATTCATCGAGACGAGGATTATTTCTCTTTCCCTGCGACTTATTTAGCTGAATCCCGTACAAAACATTCCACTCACGCATTTGCTAGATTAGAGACAACCAAAGAAAATAATAAACCATTTATACAAGATACAACTTTAGATCTACCGAAAACCACTTTACATGATGATAATTTAGTACTACAATTAGAAGACGCAACCATACCTCCAATATCGCCATCGCTATCATGCTCAACTTCCTCCTCAACTTCTGGAGAATCTGATATCGATGATTTAAACCAGGAAAATTCTACCGCTATCCTTAACAAACATCAAGTATTGAAAAAACGTTCAACTAGTGATTTTGATTCTT